ACTGATGAACCTGTCTTTTGTATGAATGTTTAGCACAGTAGAAAGCCATATGCCACTGGCACAGTTTCCTATGCATTCTTTACAGTTGCTAGAGAGCAGGCTTACAGGGGGAAAAACCCTCCATGCCATTTACATCCTCTTTCCTATATTTGAAGGATAACACCTTTAAAACAGCCCTAGTTTGGGACGACAAAAGAGGGTAGGGGCCATCTTAAAGGAAACCCGACTCCCATAATCATTTTCTTTATCAGAAATATGACTGCACTCTCTTAATAGGGGACCTTGTTTTGTTACTCCCCGTCTGTTCCAAACAGACCTTAGCCCATTAGAAGGGCCTCCCTTGTGTGGGAAGAGCACAGCTGTTACTGTAAATCTCATCCCGTCACTGTATCACCCCATTTTGTGGCTCTGAAGGATGAAATTGAGAAATGGAATACAGTGCAGTCATCCTTCACATCTCCAATTTTAGGCCTTTGCCATCATTTTCATGCTTTTATTCCAAATCAAATAACATTAGTGAGCTACACCACCTTCTGATGAATATCTGGTATTGGGCACAGCTTTCAAATCTGTACTTTTCGGGGCTTCCGTTCATGTTTGGGGGGGGGGGTTCTTTTTTCCCCTTTCTCTTCTCCTTTTCCTACACTTTCTTTGAGCTTTCTTCTTGCATTTGCAATTTCAACGATACAAGTTGCCAAGCATGTCCCAGTCTTAGCATGTTTTCCGAGAGGGACACGTGCAGGAGAAGGCTCTGTGTCTTTCCATCTTTGGGGAAGGAGGGAAGTGAACTTGGTAGGATATTGGGGGCTTTAGTCAGAAATAAGAAGTGATTTAGATCATTAGCACCACAAAGCATCCTATAAGCTTGAAGATGAAAGTCTCAGGGGAAAGAGTCCTCTGGAAATAGATGGGACTTGATAGATTTCCATATCATTTATAACTTCCCGTAATTACACTTGGAAGACTTGCCAGTAAAACTGGAAAATTGGCAGCCTATATCCATTAGAGTCATTCTGCCGACCATGGCAAGCAGCTGGCTTTACTGGATTTTAGTTCCCATCACTCACAATTAATCATCAGCTGGAGATGTCTGACACTCTTCAGCACAGAGCGGTGCCGGGTGACATTCAGGCCTCCTGAACATGCTAAAATCTGCTGAGTGGCTGGGCCGAGTTTTCTCTCCAGCTTACTCATTCTGGGGCAAGGCAGGCTCCCTCTTAATGAGTGCGCTCTGATAATCGGATGCGAATGTGAACCTTGACCCCGTGTCAAAGGAGAGGACGCAATAAGCCGGATGAAAGATATAAGATTCAGGCCTCTAAACTTTACACCAATTAGACAGGGAGCGGAGAAGTACGTCAGGCTGACTAAGTTTATTGAAAAGACTTGCGAGGCTTGTGACCACGTTGTAAGCCCGATGTTGGAGACATCCTGTCACAATGGTTAAGTCTTTGTCAGATGATTCACAAAAGTGTTAGGGAAGTGTGCGCACCCAAGTCCTTCAGTAGCAGTGCCCCCACATGGGAGCTGTCTGACGGAAACTGCGAAGGACTAAGCACCCTGGCTACTCACTCAGTTAATGCCCCGGGAGCCGGAGGTGTGGCTGCTGCCTCCTCGCTCCCTCCGGAGCCCGGGAGGGCAGGGGAGCGGGCAGGACAGGGAGGCGCCCAGTGTGGGGTGAGAGGCCTGGGGGATGCTGTCTCGGTTTTGTTGGAACTAGAGCTCGTGCGGGCCCAGTCATTGGTGGAGCACCCATTATAGCCCTGTCTGTGCGCTCTGACTTACGGTTTGCACTATATTTGCTTTTCTGACTTAGATTTTTTTTTTATTGTATAGTAATTTTTTTAAAATTTTTTAATTAAGATTATGATAGATTACAACCTTGTGAGATTTCAGTTGTACATTATTGTTAGTAATGTTGTGGGTACACCACTTCACCCTGTGTGCCCTCCCCCCACCCCCTCTTTCCCCTGGTAACCACCAATCCGTTCTCCTTGTCTATATGTTAACTTCCACCTATAAGTGGAGTCATATAGAGTTCGTCTTTCTCTGTCTGGCTTATTTCGCTTAACATAATATCCTCAAGGTCCATCCATGTTGATGCGAATGGAACAATTTGGTCCTCTTTTATGGCTGAGTAGTATTCCATTGTGTATATATACCATATCTTCTTTATCCAGTTCTGACTTAGATTTTTGAGGGATGAAATAACTTGAATTTAGATCAAGTTCGTGTGCATGTACGTGTTTGCATGTGTGTATGTGGAGAGACAGCATGATTCTCCTGACCAAAATGTATCTGTTTTGTGGGATATCCAGGTGCAACCTCCAAGAGGCCTGTCTCTTTTAGGGACAAATGAGTGAAAACAGACTACAAACAGGTTGTCGTAAGTGAACAGAGAGAGAGATGAATCACTCGATTTCCATCGACAGCTAAATACTCTAAGTAGAGACCAGCAGACACAGGGGAGAGAAGAGGAAGCCGGAGCCCTTCCTTCCACGGCTCCGTCTTTGAACCAGACTCACAGCGTCAGAGAAGGGAGGGGCTAACTGTGGCACTTGCCCACCTCTCCTGAGTATCTCTGGGCTAAGTCAGAGGTTCTGTTTTTCTGATTAATGATTGAGGACCTGCCACTCGCAGTCACCTGTGGGTCACCTCTTTGCAAATCACCCACGCAACAAGCACACGGGGCCAGCCAGGAGAGATGGTCGGTGGGCAGCCGCAGCAGAGCCCCCATAAACTTGTTGACTGTCTCCCATGGCTCCCAGGCTCCGGCAGGCCCTGATCTAACCTCCAGTGTGGCCGGCTGGAGCCTGGTGTGGGACTGTGGCCCAGGCCCAGCCGTCCTTCTGCATGTTTCCTGTGGGTATCGTTGTCAGATCTGTGTCCCCTTGGCGTGGCCACTGGAAATCTCCTGGGTTCATCTCTTTTTCATATCTGCATTAACTGTCAATTCACTTACTTGAAGATCCCATAAAGCAGCAGTGAGGGGCGCTCTGTCTGGCCAGGGGAAGCTGGGCAGTGGCTGAGCAGCTGCAGAGGAGCAAGGTTGTACCCACCTAAGAGAAGTCTGTGGGCCAGGGATGGTGAGACGGGGGCTCTGAGCAGGCCCTGGGCTCTCAGATGCTAGCAGAGGAAGCCTGGCTGGGTGGAGAGTGCGAGGTGAACACACACGGGCCCCCACGACGGGCACTCCTCCACCTGTGAAGGAAGGAGCTACCAGAGCCCAGAGGCGGAGAGCCGGCAACGAATTTTTGGATAGAATTTCCACTGTTGAATTTCAGATTCATTTCTCAGAAAGCCACCCCAGCCCTGTGGCCAGAATGCCCAGCCCTTGGGTTGTGATGCTGGTTCATGAGGCTGGCTCTGGACCCTCAGCCTCTAAGAGCCGTGGTCTGGGTCCACCAGGGTTTTCCGTGTGGAGCTAAATGCACAGAGGTGCTGCTCCAGGGAACTCGCCTTTCTCCCATCTTGCCTGGTCCCTGCCTGCCTCTGAAAGGAGGAAAAGGGCTCTCAAATGACGACTTGCGGGGGTAGCTGTTCTGACACCCTGACCGGGCATCTGCATTGTCTTTGAGCTGCCCTCACTCCTGTCCCTCTGCGTTTTGGAGAACAGCCCTCCTGGTTAGCTCTTCCCTCCCCATGGAATGCAGATGCCAGGTGAAAATGAATCAGAAAGGGCAGCGAGCACAGAGCCACAAAGCCCGGCTCCCCAGCACAGTCTCTCTGCCGTGCCAGCACCGGAGCGTTGGCATCCCCTCTCTTCCTATATTTCTGTGCCAGGAAAAAGCAGCCCACCACCTGATCAGCGGAGGAGAGGAATGCATGGAGCTCAGGCAGCCCCGACTGCCAGCAAGACAGCTGGTGCCGTGCGGGGGGCCGCGGTGGGGGGGTGGACATCATCTGGGGATTTCAGGAAAGAACACTCTCCAGGCACTTCTGTGACACTGGACAAGCACAGCCGTGGGGTGCCAATGTCCAGAGCCCCACACCAGGATGCCCACCAGCACCCCAGCCAGCCGGTTGCCCTAAGAAATTCAACTCTCCCATTTCAAAGACTGGGAGGCCTCTTCTCACAAAGATAGGGAAAAACTGGGCCCAGCACCTTGATGCTTGCCCATCGAGGGCGGAGGCAAGAGCATAAGGAGAGCAGCTTTTAGTCACAGCTGACTTCTGGGTGGACCCCCAGGTTTAACCCCAGGGGGTGCACACCCAGCTCTGCCTGGATTTCCCTCCTCATGAAAGGAAGCTTGAGCGTGCCTGCAGGAGCCTCCGTCTCCTTGCAGGGGAGGGGCAAAGCGCTGGGAATCACCACCTGCACTTTCCAGGTGCCACACCGTCCTCAGGACTCGGCATGTCTTGCGTAGGTTGGGACGGTGGTCCCCATGGCCTGGATGCTCGGCTGTTCCCAGCTCTCCAGGCTATAGACAGAACTCCATGCTTAGAGAACAGCTTTACTGAGAGAAAATTCACCTACAATACCTTTCACCCGACAGTGTGCCCTTCAGTGGTTTGGGTCCATTCCCAGAGTTGTGCAGCCATCACCAGTCAATCTTAGAACATTTTCATCACCCCAAAAGAAGCCCTGTACCCAGCAATCACTGCCCTCTCTCCCCAGCCCCTGGGAACCACAAATCTTTCTGTCTATAGAGATTTGCCAATTCTGAACATTTCACGTGAGTGGGAAACATTCCATTTTTGCCACATCTCTGTGGCAAAGGCAGATTCAGATTCCCAGGGCAGGCCCCACAACCTGCACCCCCGATCCTCCAGTATCAGGGGTTTTTTCTGACCAGGACTTAACCACGACAGAGGGAATGTTCTTTCTCTGCTGTCCCTGAAAGACGAACTTGGAATATGAAGTATTAGAGGTCGTTGCTGCCGTTCGGATAGAATTTCAGAGCATCTGACACAGACTTTCTTAATGGCTTCACTCTTGAGCGTTGTTGTGAAGTTAGAATGCTTTTAAAACTTCTGTCCATTTTTTATTTGTTTCCCAGGTAGCAGAAGGTCAGGAAATTTGTGTGATTGAAGCCATGAAGATGCAGAACAGCATGACAGCTGGGAAAACTGGCAAGGTACGTCCCCAAGTTCCCGCCAGCACACACCGGCTCTGTGACAGGAAGCGGGACGTCCACCTTTGAGTCTTGGACAGTTAGGCCTGAAGAGAACCTCAGAGGTGCTCTCTTCCCCCCGACCCCTGCAGACAGGACAGTGAGGTGGGAGCTCCTCACTCCGCATGGGCGCGGCCCCGCCTCACGGAGAGCAGGCTTTCCCCAAGCCTGATGATGCTCAGGTAGTCAGAGAACAATTGTTCTTCTTCTTAATGTCTTTCAAATTAAGGGGCCTTTAATTTTTAATGTTTACATCTGTCTTGGAGGCAGTTAGTTATCTGAGACTTAGGTGGCACAGCGGGAAACGGTTTTAGAGACTGCAAAAATTAATGTAACTCTGCAAGGTAATTTCTCCACAAAGAGAACAATTCAATTTTTGATCAAGAAGAGCTGAAAACTCCATGTACCATGTGGGACTTCATGATTTAAGAGAGAAAAAAGGGAGATGTGTTAGTACTGAAATTTGTTGAGTAAAACTTCTTAAATGTATTTTCTCCTTGAAGAAAATAGAAAAGTCATCTTAAGTAGTAACTTCCTTAATTTTTTCTGTGACTAAAAAGACCCTGTGCATAGCAGAATGATGATTTTCTGAAGGATGGTTTCGGGTGGAAGTGTCTGACTCAGGGAGAGAGGCTGGCCGGGCCCTGCGCTGTGGCCGGGCCTGGAGAGCGAGCCACAGCCTTGGGGCCTGGGTGCCCGGCAGAGAGGAACTGTCAGCTCAGCGAAGTCTGCCTCGGAGAGACACAGCCTCCGTCTGTCACCTCAGTGGAAAATGAAACCGATGCTCAGAACAGGCTGAGGGGACGCCCAGTTGAGTCCCAGCTGGGAGGGCAGAGGCCCAGTGTGTGGCTGGGGGCCCGGAGCTGGCTGGCCAGGGTGGAGGGGGCTGCCGATGGCGCGCCTAGTCTTGTGGGGTTTGGGAGAGGAGAATGGCATGATGTGCGGTTTTTTAGAAATCTTGCTTTCTACTTCTGATTACTTTTTTAAAAGTGAACAAGAAAATGTTGGTTTCTGCTCTTGTAAAAATTGTTATATTTGTTCCTTGGGATTATTTAACATTTATGCTGCATCAGTGTCATGAAATTCCCATCCACGATGAGAACATGGCCTCATTTAGGGGGACCCAGAATATAGGTCAGATGCATGCCAAGGGCCTGTGTTGCTGGACCGAGGTACTAAGGTCCTGAGGTACTACTGGGTTGCTGGGTGTGGAGCCCGTGTCCTTCAGGGTATTTTACATCCTGGTGGCGGGTTTCCTGCTGGAGGCTTAGCTGCTCCCAGGCCGTCAGCAGCCCGGAGCTGCCTTCAGGGTGCTCGTGGGCTCTGGTGAATTTGTACTTTGGCCTGACCCCTACCAGCGGGAGTCCTTCCTGCCCATCCTGTTTCCTCCTACCCCCAGCAGGGCAGCCAGGAGTGGCCAAGGCCCCTGCACAGAGGAGCAGACCCTGGCGAACCTGGGGGCTGGCGGTTCTTATTTGGGAGGGCCGTTTTTCCTCCCGGAGAAAAGGCTCACAGTGGGAACAGGCCCCCCACTCTGATAAACGCAGCACCATGAAAATACATCCTATACAGACACTGAAGCTTCAGATCCTAAAGAGCAGCCACTTCAGTGCGGACAGCACCTGCCCGACGAGGCCTTTGAAGTAGGCATCGCATAGGTCCACATTGTCCTCAAAGACCACGGGCTGGAATTCAAGGGAAAAGGCCCTTCTAGCCTCTGGCTCATAGCAGAGGGGTGGGGACACAGGCCAGGGCACCGAACCCGCCGTCTCCAGCATTTCTCCTCTTTGCCACTTGCCTGCATGGCCAGTTAGTGCTGACCCGTTGTTCATTTTCATGCCTGAGCAAGAACCTCCTGGAAGTCAAATGACTGTCTCTTCCTCACTCCAACCCCTCCCCGCTCATTTTAAAGCTGAACATAAATTTGGGAAAGCAAAACTTAGTTAAAATCTGGAGAAATCAGTAGAATGAAAACAGTAGCAACGTTGTGGGAGCTCAGTGGTCGTCCCCCATCACGCCAGGAAGTCCCGGCCGAGCAGCCGCACGTCTTCTGAGTGCTCATCCCCTTGGGAAGGAAGTGTGCCAGCAGGTTAGGGCGTTTCTCCTGTTAGTTAGCACCTGTTCTCATTCTTTTTTTTTTTTTCCCCCAACATTATATTCAGTAACATTTTTTTTTAAGATTTTATTTTTCCTTTTTCTCCCCAAAGCCCCCTGGTACATAGTTGTGTATTTTTAGTTGTGGGTCCTTCTAGTTGTGGCATGTGGGACGCCACCTCAGCGTGGACTGATGAGCGGTGCCATGTCCGCGCCCAGGATCCGAACCGGCGAAACCCTGGGCTGTTGAAGTGGAGCGCACGAACTTAACCACTCGGCCACGGGGCCGGTCCCCACCTGTTTTGATTCTTGTATTTTTTTTTTTTTTGACACTAAACTAAGTGTACCATTAATTCTCAGAGAACGTTTCTACGACCTGAAACCATGAGAGAGGCTGGGAGGGCTGCCTGTTGAGAGTCATCCAGCAGAAACACTTTTGGCTTTGGGGATGCTGGCTGCAGCCCCAGGTGCACCCCGTGCGAGGGCCAGCGGGCACGCGACAGCAGAAATTCCCTTGGACCAGTGACTTTCAGGACGGACAAGGACGGGAGAGGGGAAGGTGGCGAGTCACGGCCCTCCACGAGGATGTCCCTGTGCACTCAGTCCCCTCTGCTGGGCCACCAAGTGCTCTACCCGTGCTCCAGGGCCCGCCAGCCTGTCTCTTCATTTCCAGAAACGAATGACGAGATTGCTCCCTCCTGGTCTAGTTAATGATTCTTACCCCTCCCCCCTTTTTTTAATTCAAGGTGAAATTGGTGCATTGTAAAGCTGGAGACACAGTTGGGGAAGGAGATCTGCTCGTGGAACTGGAATGAAGTATTTATAGCCTTTCAGTCATCACCCAATTTAATTAGCCATTTGTATTATGATTCTCTCACACGCAATTTACTCAAGCCTTTTGCAGGAACACCCCTGTGCGGCAGATTTTACATGGTCATATTTATTCCACATATAGTCAGAAACCAACGTTCTGCCAAAAAATCACCAATGGAAATTTTTATTGATATAAATACTTGTACATATGATTTGTACTTCTGCTGTGAGATTTCCTAATGTCAAAATTAAATCAATAAAACTGAGCATTTGTCTAAATATTAGTTTGCCCTTTTTTTGAATGAAGACAATGTACATAAGAGGCTATGAGCTGTGCCAGTAGACTTTAAATACTAGTGTTTCATTGTGGTCCTTGAGAAAAATTTATATAAATCCCAGTTCTTTGCCTTCGGTTTCACTAAATTAGCATTTGCCACTTTATAATCTCATCACCTGCTTCCTCCGGGTTGAGGACCTCACCCCGCCTGTGGTTGTCCATAACTTCCTAAAGCCCACATGGCACAGATGATGATTCTGGCGACCCCTCCTGCGTGGCTCACCCTCCCGGGTGAGTGCTGGATCCCCGGAGGCATCACCTTAGGGAGCGCTGACTCACGGTCCCCCCTTCCCCATCCCACAGGCTCTGCTCGGGGCTCCCTCACCCCAACTGTAGCGGGTGGGGCTGCCACAAGCTCCTCAGCTGATACCCATCCTCGCCTTTTTGTGTTTCTGTGAAGCAAGTTTCCAATTAAGAAAAAAGGGCTAAAAATAATGATCACGTTTTTGTGCCCGATGCAGTTAGCGAGCACAGTCTACCATTAAGTTGGAGAGTAAGCTCTCTCGACAGAGAACAGGGGTCCTGAGGCGCAGCAGCTGCATTTTCATTTGGTTTTGAAATTCTTGGAATACATTTCATACTCGGCGGATAAGGAGGGAGAGGCAGAGTCGTGCACTGATTTGAATCCACGCTGACAGATTATCAGATGGAGGTGGTAGTAATTGGTACTTCGTGCGTTGCTAAAATTATTTTAAGTGCTGTTTGTATTTGGAAGCTAAGCTTTCTGTCAGGCCTGAAGAACAAATTACTAATGTGCTGGGTCCTCTCTGAAAGGCCCACCCCCAAATGCCGCTCCCTTGGGGAGGCAGCGCTGGGACCTTGCCGCTGGGCTCCAGGCTTGGGTGGGCTTCCATCTGACATCAGGGTGTTCAGCTACCGTCTGCCAGCAAGTGGGTGCTTGTTATTTTGCTGGATTAGAAGGAAAAGAACCTTCTACCAAATAAGTAGACCCAAAAAAGGGCCAACAATAGCACTAACAAACACTTTTATATTTGATTCCCCAAAGCATCTAGTTTAAGTTTAAATCATCTTTAAGAATCGTTTTTAATAAGCTTGATCTGGAAATTGTGAAGAACGATGTTATATATACTCCAAAACTACTCCAAAATACGGCATGTTTTTCTTGAGTTTCTTTTATTACATTGAGACATTCAAAATGAGCTTAAAATTTTTTTTCTTAGTGCTACAGGTCAGAATCAGTACAGTAGGGCTGCCAAAATCTAGCTGCAACACATGGTCTTTACGATCATTTTAAATGTTATCTTCAGATTAAAGCAAAGCACAAAGAAGAAAAAAAGAAAAGGATGAGAACATATGAGTTCCTGAAATGTCAGTTAGGGAAACAAAATCCTAATTTTTCTTACCCAGCACATCCAAGCTCACGGCGCTCTTTAGGCCGCAAGGAACGGGGCGGGCCGAGGGGGATGTCAGGGCGCGGTCTTGTGAGATGGCTTGGGAACTGCTGCATTGAGAGAGGGACTGTTCCTTTCCCCACAGACTGCGTTTGACAAACACTTGGTTCAAAGGGCATGACTGCCCCCCACACTCGGCGAGTGCGGACCGCGCCGAGGCCATCTTACGGTCCTCTGCCCTCCGCCCATGAGCGTCCGGGAACTTCTCATCTGTTCTCCCGGGGATTATAGCGAAGCCCGTGCTGCCCCTGAGAGTCGTAATTGTCGTGGTACGGGAGGTGCAGCCACTCGGGCGGGAAGGTGGCCGTGCTGTACACGAAGCACTGCACGGTCCTGTCGGCAGCGGGCGTCTCCCTGGGGGCGCCGCGTGTGCCCTCCCACTCGAGGACCGCGATCGGCAGCGGGGTGCGCTGGTACATGTCTGGGCAGCCTTCGAACTCATCGAGGAAGCGCAGCATCTGCTCGTCCACGGCGTAGATCTCCCCGACCACGCGGTGGCCCTGCCCCGGGACGTTGAGCAGACGCGGGACGTTGTGTTCTCCAGCGATCACCAAGGGGTACGGCTCCGCCGTGCGGCCCCGGCCCTGGAAGGCGGCGCGGCCGTGGGTGCCGCCCAGCAGCACCTTGTGGTTGGGCTGGCCTCTCTTCAGGGTCCCGTACACGAACACGTGGGTCATGCCGGCCGGGGATGCTGCAGAGGAGAAAGGACGCAGACTAGGTCGGTGGTCTAGAGTCAGAACCCGGCGGGGGCTTCGGTCTCAGCAGGGGTTGGAAACTGGGAAGGACCAGAGGGTACACGGTTCAGGCTGCGTGGGTGAGCAGCTGCTCCCAACGCCCAGTGCCACCCAGAGCCCACCACTCCTGACCGCCTGCTGGGCTCTGAGGCTCCAGGGAACACCACCCGCCCAGACTGGATAGTCAGTATTCTGGGAGAAGGCACTCATTTTAAGAACTTATCAGATGGAGACAGCCTGTCCTGGGATCGAGCCCTGCAGAACTGCTGTTTTTTAGAGCAGTTAGTTTTCAACCTTTTTTTTAAAGGGACTTGAAAAATTACACAATAAATGTTATAGGAAAGAGAAATAATGACAAGCAAGTATGTCTCTCTCTATACACACTGTGTGTGTGTGTGTGTGTGTAAAATAGTCACCTGTAATCGGCTACAAGAGAGAACTCAGTAAATTGACATTCTGGTCCTGGCAGTATAACCCAGCCAGACTTGAACAGTCGCACCTTTCGGTGTCCTTTTTCAAGGTCCTGGAGGGTAATGCCGCTTCCCTGTGACTCACCGTGACTCAGCGCGGCGACCTTGGCTCCGATGTGAAGGTAAATATTTACCACTCGCCTGGGTCCCGGCCACAGATTGTTACATAATCCACAAAAGTGATTTGTGTAAGAGTGACTCAGACACAAAAGGGAATGAAAGTTAAACGGGGGTGGCCCTGCTCGCGCCCGGCGTGTCGCTGCCCCGTCCCCACCGCCGCGAGACCCGCGGCAAAGGACCGGCGCGCCCACCTGCCAGCGGCAGCGCACGACCGACCGGCCAGGAATGCGCGGAAGCGACGCCCCCTGGACACCGGGGTGTGCCCAGAGAGCGCTGTCCCCAAGCGCGTGGCCAAGTGGCCCTTGAGGAAGTCACACAACTCGCAGGACTTCCACTCTCTTCTCAGCAACCCGCGGCCACTCTGGGGTCTCGCCCTTGAGCCCCTTTTCAGGGCCTCGGGGTGGCGGGCGGCCCCCACGGCCCAACACAGCTCGTCCCCCTGCGCCCCCCGCGGCCCGGGTCTCGGGCACCGCTCTGTGCAATGTCGAGACTCCCATGGGTTTCGGGCAAACGGCACTCGGAGAGGCCTGGCCGTGGGGGAACGCAAGGCTGGCTGGGCACACGCACTCTGAGCACGTGACAGCCGACCCGAGCAGGACCGGGAACGACGGGAGCTCTAGTTCCGGGGACTCTCACAACAGGGGAAGGTCAAGTGAGAGTGCGGGGCTGGAGGGGGCGGCGCGCCTCGGTCGGGACAGGGATCTGGAAGAGCCTGGAAGGGCAGGCGCGGAGGGAAGCGGAACCGGAAGAGGAGCCGCAGGCCCTGCAGTGACGCGCAGGACTGCTGCTGGCGCGGGGGGGACCCGAGAGGGCGTCAGGACGCGCCCGGAGCCTCCTCACAGTGACAGGGACGCAGGGACCGTCTCCAGGAAGCCCAGGGCCCAGAGGATGGCAGTGGGTTGGACAGGCTGTGTGGCAGCCTGGAGAGCAGCGCTGGGAAGGAGCCACCCAACGGCTCTCCCACACTCGCATCCTGTCTTCCAGCACCTTCTGTCTGCACCGCCTCCAGGTCCTCCAGGGGCCAGACTTCTCACCCGCCTCCCCTCTGCCACCCTCGCTTGCCCGAGGTCTGTCCCCTAACGGGCCCGCTACTCTGTTCCCTCCAGCCTGTCCCCGGCCCTGCCCGCCCCCGGGCTGCTCTGGACGGTGCGTGTCTTGCTCACGGCCACACGGGGAGGGCTGGAAGGGAGCTCGGGAACCGTGGGCCAGCAGCCGGGTCTCAGGGTGGAGCCCTGCTCTCCTCCCTGCGCCCAGGCATTTCCCCCCTTTGATCACATTTTCGAAGTAACACGTGTCCCTGAGGAAAAAGTGGAATAATCTTACAAGAAAAACGAAATTCCTACCCCTTGCCACTCCCTTGAGGCGACACTTTCAGCCTTTTAACTGTTGCATTTGGTCTTCATCTCCATATTCTTGGTTACTTATTCTGCTATTGCTTCATGTTTTAAATTGTTTGCCTTCTTACCCTAAAAGCAGGTGAGCATAGTGGTTTAAAGCAGACTTTAGAACCAATTTGCCTGGGTTGAAATCCTGGCTAGACACTTATTAACGGTGTGACTTTAGGCAAACCACTTAACCTCTTTGTGCCTCGGCTTCCTCAACTATAAAAGTAATAACAGCACCCTGCCTGGAGGACCACTGCGATGGCTGCCTGAATTCCCACCAGCCGGTGCTGCAGCGCTGGAGACCTGCTTTAAATGTTCGCTGCGCTTCCTTTCGCTCCTGAAGCCCACGGCGGCTCCCACCCACGCGCCCCAAACAACTCACACTCTCGGCCCCACGTTCCTCCAGCAGACTCATCTCACGATTTCTGGTCAATCCATATTCAGTTCAGCATTAGAACTCAGTAACGCTGTTCCCAGATAAGGCACATAGTGTACTATGATTAATTTCCTTTCTTGGACGACTTTTTGTTTTTCTTGGAATTAAAAATTACTTCACTTTTTTTCTTGCTCTTTGCTCAAGTTTCTCTGACAGTGATGGCCCTCACATTTTTTGCAAGCGCTGTAGGAATCCTTGGCCTTGACCATCATGGGTTCTGTTTTTCCCTGGAGCCATCGCTCCCGGGGCCCATCCTGCTCCAGCCTGGGGCCTCGGGACGGCTGCCATCCGGGACGTCCCCTCCCACTTCCCTGAGCCTCATCCTGTGCCAGAGCCCAGGGGTCCCTGGGTCCCATGGCCCCTTCTTGGTTGACTCCCTTGCTTTACTGAAGCTTATTCTTTTCCGCCCTGGATTAACAATACAGAATATTCTAGAAATAATTCCCTTCAGAACTCTAAAGGCATTTCTTCTTGGTTTTCTAATTCCAGAAGTTCTTGCTGAGCAGTCGGGTTCCACTGGGACCCACAATCCTTGTACAGGTCTCTAGCTTTTCTCTCCGGAGGCTCTTAAGGTCTTCCCTTTCATCCTTGGATTCTGAGAGTCTGTGATGATGTACTTTCACGTCGGTTTTTTTCATGTGCTATGCCAGCAATTTCCATTTGGAAACTCATTGTCTTGGATCATGGGGAATTTTCTTCCTTCTCCTTACTTCTTGTTTGTTTTCTGGATTTCCTAATACTCAAGATGTTGCATTTCCTGGATTACTCTTCCAATTTTTTTTCTCCTTTTTTCCAGGTATTTTCCTTTATATTCTACTTTATCTTCCAATTCTATTAATTTTAAAAAAATTTTTGCCATCACACTTATTCCCAAGATCTTTTTCTTGTTCTCTCATTTTGTTAGCATCCTGTCCTTTCATGGCACAAGACCATCTCTCATCTTCGGGGGCACATTGTCATGGCTTTGGGTTTCCTTTAAGTTTTCATCTTCCCTGCACTGCCTCTCTTTCTCCTCAATTCCCCTTTTCTCTGTTTTGGCATGTTTCTTTAAGAGGTTTCCTTCACACGTAGGGCCTCCTGGCTGGTCTTCCATGTTGAAAAGTGAGATGCCATATAGGAAACTGAAGCTCGAGTGAGGGGAGGGGGCCTGACGGTCAGCAAGGCCTCGTCGTGGGGCTCTGGGGACAGGATTGGGGGCTGCAGGTGTGCAGCCTTCCCCCAACCCCGTTTTCAGGGTACCCCTCAGCCAGGCTCAGGTAGGCCCCAGGCTAGGCCTCCCTGGACAGTACCTCGTGGCCCCTGCTGGCAGAGGAGCCTGGGGGTCTCTGCTCTGGGTCCTGACTTTCCCCCCTCCCCCTTTTCTGCCTCTACGGCACCCCAGGAGCTGAGTTGCCCTGGCGGCCCACGGCACCACTGGGCGAGCTTCCCACCAAGCAGGGGCTTAGGTTCCAGGTTTCTGCAGGCTGCTACGTCAGCTACCATTCATTTCTGTTTCCGATCTTCCAGAACCTTGCTGCCCTCCCTCATCTTGTCTTTTGCGGTCAGGAGTGACATCTAGGGAGGAAGGAGGCGTAAAGGAGCGTGTTCCCCGGCACCTTCTCCCGCGGTGCCGCCCACTGCACCACCAGCCCTTTCACAGGGCCCTCGGCCCCTCGGCCCTCCAGAGGCTTGATGGGAAACAGAAGCGGCGGTTCAGGAGCTGCTTGCTTAGACGGCTGGTGAGAAGAGTTTGTTGGGGTACAGTGGACTCGAGTACATGGTTTAGGCCACCACGGGAAAGCCAGTGAGGCAGCAGTCGTGGGCACCAGAGAGGCCTGGCGGTGGCTCAAGGAGCCAGGCAGGGGCTGGGGGACTCGCCTCCGCCAGGGAAGAGCGGAAGGGGGAGCAGAGGGCTGCGCAGCCAGAGGCCCACGCCGAGCGCGGGGATGCACAAGGAAGGGGACACGCCCCGCCCTCTGGGAAGGTCACGGGGAGACAGACTCGTCAACAGGCGGCTTCAAACGTGGAGCGAGGACGGAGCGGCACCCCGGGCACAATGCAGGGACTGCCTCAGGAGGGGCGGCGGCGGGACCTGCATGCACGGCTGCCGGGCCTTTCCTTAAACTACGAGGACATGTCGTCTCTCCGGGATGGGGAGAGGTGGCACCAGGGGTGAGGACTTGCAAAACGGAAGAAGTTTAGAACCATCCTACTGGAAAAAGCCTAGCGCTGGAGTCAGCTGTCAGGTGCCGGCTCAGAGCAGGCTCTCCGCGAAGGATGCTGTTTTCCTGATTCAGCTGCAAAGCAAGGAAAGGAATCCTACATCCAAGAGTGACAGCGGCTTAGGGAGCCAGGAAGGAGGGCAAGAAGTCTGGTCAGAGAGACTCGTGGAGGATGGTGTTCCTGAGGGGGCTGACTAAATCCCAGCGATGACCCGGTTCCAGGGCATTGGCGCCCAGCAGCAGCTTTGGGTCCTCTGGGGGGCCTGTGCACACCTCTGCTGAGCACCACCTGAGTGCCCTGGGCCCTGTGCTGAGTGCCATGTGTCACCTCAGCTTCTCGAATCCTTGACACTCTGTGGTGGTGTTATCACCACTTAACAGATGAGGAAACCAAGGTGGCCTCGATGAGGGCTCCAGGCAGAGCTCACGTGAGGCAGCACCAGGAACTGGACCCCGGGGGGGGGGACTCCGAAAGCCTCAGGGCTCTGCTCTTCAGACGGACCCCAGGGCCGAGGGGCGAGCCGTCAAGCACAGCCTGGGACACAGGCTCAGCAGTGGCAGCGACAGGGTGCACAGGGCTCTGCCCCCATCATGCTCTTTTTTCCCCACTTGTTTATTTTGGATTTTAAGAAATTATGGTAAAATACACAAAACATGAAATTTACCATCTTAACCATTTCAGTTCAGTAGTGGTAAGTACGTTCACATTGTTGTGCAACCATCACCACTATCCGTCTCCAGAACTCTCTTCATCTTGTGAAACTGGAACTCTGTACCTATTGGCAGTAACCACCCACCCCCTCAGCCCAATCCCCGTCTTGCTCGCCCCTGGCAACCACATGCTACTTTCTGTCTCTATGAGTCTGACTACTTGAGGTACTGCATGTAAGTGAAATTATACAGTATTTGTCTTTTAGTGTCTGGCTTATTCCACTTCGCATAATGTCAAGATTCATCTGTGTTATAGCATATGTTAGAATTTCCTTCCTAAATTACTTAAGGCTGAATAATATTCCATCACATGCATATACCACATTTTGTTCATCCATCAATGGACAATCAGTCAATGGACTGAATCAGTGAATGGCTTGCTTCCCCTGCTTGGCTACTGTGAATAATGCTGCCATAAACGCTGCTGTACAGCTATCTCTTCAAGCCTCTGCTTTTAATTATTTTGGATACATACCCGGAAACGGGATTGCTAGATCATATGGTAATTCTATGTTTAATTTTTTTGAGGAACTTCTATACTGTTTTCTATAGTGGCTGCACCATTTTACATTCCCACTAACAGTGCACAAGGGTCCCAATTTCTCCATATCCTTGTCAGCACTAGTTATTGTCTATGTTTTGGTTTTGTTTTGTTTTGTTCTTCCTTTTCAAGATTGCTTTGTTTATTTGGGGTCCCTTGAAATTCCATGAATCTCCAGATGGATTTTTCTATTTCTGCAAAAAAGTGCTGTTGAGAATTTTGATAAGACCCGCACTGAATCTGCGGATCGCTTTGGGTAGCAGTGACCTCTTAACAATATGAAGTCTTCCAATCGATGAACAGGTGTCTCTCCATTTATTTAATTTCTTTCAGCAATGTTTTGAAGTTTTCAGTGTAGAAGTCTTTCACTTACTTGATTAAGTTTATTCCTAAGTATTTTATTCTTTTTCATGTTATAAGTGGAAGTGTTTTAATTTTCAGATTGTTTATTGTTAATGTATAGAAATGCAACTGTTTTTCTTTTTTGAGGAAGATTGGCCCTAAGCTAATATCCGTGTCCATCTTCTACTTTTTATATGTGGGACACCTGCCACAGAATGGCTTGGTAACAGGTACATAGGTCCACACCCAGGGAACCAAACCAGGAATCCAAACCAGGGAACCCTGGGCCGCAGAAGCAGAGCATGTGAATTTAACTGCTAGGCTATTGGGCTGGCCCCAGAAATGCAACTGATTTTCGTGCACTGATTTTGTATCCTGAAACTTTGCTGAATTCATTTATTAGTTCTAACAATTTTCTTGTGGAAATGTTAGGGTTTTCTACATATAAGATCGTGTGAACGGAGAAAATTTTACTTCTGCCTTTCCAATCTGGATGTCTTTTACTAGTTTTTCTTGCCTGATTGTTCCAAGCAGGACTTCTAGTACTATGTTGAATGGAAGAGGTGAAAGCAAACATCCTTATCTTGTTCCTGACCTTAGAGGAAAAGCTTTGTCTTTCACTGAGTATGACATTAGCAGGGGGCTTTTCATATATAGCTTCCATTATGTTGAGGTAGTTTCCAGTGTTTTTAGCATCAAATGGTGTTGAATCTTGTCAAATGTTTTGTCTGTATCAATTGAGATGATCATCCAGTTTTTCCCCTTCATTCTATTTATTAATGTTATGTATTACACTGACTGATTTTCCTATGTTGAACCATCCTTGCATTCCAGGAATAAATCCCACTTGGTCACAGTAGATAATCCTTTCAATGTGCTGTTGAATTTTGTTTGCTAGTATTTTGTTTAGGATTTTTGCATCAATCTTCATCAGGGATATGAGTCTGTAGTTTTCTCATAGTGTCTTTGTCTGGCTTTGGTGTCAGGGTAGTGCTGGTCTCATTGAATGAGTTTGGAAGTGTTCCCTCCTCTTCAACTTCCGGGAAGAATGTGAGGAGGATCAGTGCTGATTCTCTTGACACCGCCGGTAGAACTCACCAGTGAAGCCATCTGGTTCTGGGCTTTTCTTTGTTGGGAGGTTTTTGATTACTGAGCCAATCTACTTATTGGTTATAGGTCTGTTCAGCTTTTCTATTTCATCATGGTTCAGTCTTAGTAGGTTGTGTGTTTCTAGGAATTCATCCATTTCATTTAGGTTATCCAATTTGTTGGCATACAATTGTTCATAGTGTTCTCTGATAATCCTTTTTATTTCTGTAAAATGGGTTGTAACGTCCCTTTTCATTTCCAATTTTAGTTATTTTATCTTCTCTTTTTTCTTAATCTAGCTGAAAGTCTGTCAACTTTGTTGATATTTTCAAAGAACCAACTCTTGGTTTCATTGATTTTCTCTATTGTTCATCTCTGCTCTAATCTTTATCATTTTCTTCCTTCTGCTAGCTTTGGGTTTAATTTGTTTTTCCCCTTTGAGTTCCTTGTCTCCCTATACTCTTGTTCCTTGTCTGTCATTCTCAGCCGATTTCCAAGAGCTGCTGTGGGGGTCACAGCCCACAGAACATGTGAAACGTCTATTACATTGGCCAGATCCTCTCAGAACTGCAGCCAGGGCTAACTCAGAGTATGCCTGTGATTCATTGAGGCCTGGAGACACTGGTATCCTCCTAACACACGGTGCCCCTGGGCCAGGCTAGGAAGGGTGGCACTGCCACCGCAGAAGGGCATGCTACCTTCTGAGGCTCATATGTTACTACGTCTTTAACCTCGTCCCCTTCCTGCCATGTAGTTTCTTCCATGACACTGGGTTACGTTCAGAGTCTTGGATAAAATGCAAGAGCTTGGTTTAATAAATAATGGATAGAAACACCTCTAGGTGAGCCATTTGGGCTTTTCCAGAGCAAACTAAAGAGTGCCCTTTAGGAGTGGCTCCACCTCTGCTTTATTGTGAAGTAGACCCTCCCAGGTAGGCCTGTTCTGGGACACTGACGGTCAGGTCAGGCCAGCCCCTGCAGGGAACATCATCAGGCAGGACGGCCTCAGCATTCTGTAGCTGGACATTTAAGGACACAATGCATGATAAGTGTAAAGAAATGCACTGTGGCACAATGACAGGCCTGAATCGAACTCTCACCCCTACCACTTGGCAGCTGTGGGTCTTTGGGAAAGTTATTAAAACCCTCTGAGCTTCTATTCCTGCTTTTTAAAATGAGGTTCATCCAATCTCCCTAAGAGCTAATCTCTGCTGACTGCCGACTGGGTGCCAGGCCTCAGCACCCAGTGAATGTTAATTCTCTCTCCTCCCCTTGATGCTGCTCCCTCCTAAGTCCTCCACCCCAACTCCTTCCTTGTCAAGATCCTATAAAAACACCTGCTAGCTTATATTCTTCTCAATAAAGCCCCTTAAAAAAATAAGACAAAAAGGAACACTCTACCTAATAGATAGAAGAGGGAATCGAGCCATATCAAGTGTTGGTTGTGGCCTAAATGATTTTCAGAGACAAGAAGAATACCTGGGAAGGTGCTATTAGAGAGACACGATCGTGGTTAGGTCGCACAATGTTAATTCCAACTCTGGAGAAAATCAGTTCCGTAACTGTTTTCTGCAGAAGATGATGGCCTATTTCCATAAAAGAAACACTAGCAATAAAAATTAAACTTCTTTTCTAGGAAATAATGTAGCTTGCTAGAATGACTAAATTATAATTTTCTCTATGTTATCTATTGAATTGTATCCTTTATAATATTGGTTTGAGAATACCTCTTCTGTAATAAACAAAGAAAATTATTATTCTGCATTCTGGCTCCTTTCACAAGAAAAACATCATTACCTTCTGATTGTGTTTTGAACAACAAACACAGATCCTTCAGGAAGAAACTCATGCCTGTGGGGATTGAGAAAGGATCAGAGTTAAGCACTCAAACAAGCAATTAATTCCCATTAGAGGATTAAGTCCTCCTGCTCACTTTGAATCAGAAAAACGAATTGTGAATAAAACCGTGTACAGCCAAGAGGTTACTTGTCAAAATTAATAAATTAGAGAATTGAAGGGCAAACT